TAGTGGTGTTTCAATGCTGTTGTCAGAGATGGCTGTGATCACCGCGCAAGTCAGTGAGCTCATCAGGAGTCTGCGGAAGAAAGGCTGGACGACTTCGGCCATCGCCAAACATCTGGAGACGAGTGGGATTGAAGCTTCATTGGGCACTATTCGACGTCATTGCCGAGGTTCTCCTGTGAAGAAGCAAATCAGAAAGCCACGAAAACTGACCAGTCAGGTGTTGGAAATAATTGACACGATCCTGAGACAAGATGACACGCTGCCGGCAAGGAAAGTGAGATCGCTTCTACAACGAAGGCACAACATTACGATAGGGTTATGCACAATGAGAAAGGCCCTGAAGGAACTTGGCTGGAGTTTTGGGAAGCCCAGATTTACTCCAATGACCCAGGAAAAAAAAAAAGAACTGGAAATTCTTCTGGCCGAGAGATCAGCGCAGCTGGCCGAGAGATCAGCGCAGCTGACTCAGAAAACAATACAGCTTGCAGCAGTGTCTGAGCGAGTAGCCGAGAGGGATGCCGCGATTGTCCGTTTGAAAGAGGAGAACGAAAAGCTCAAACAGGACATTGAAGGCCTCAGAACGACCAGCCACTTGGATAACCACAGAGGGGGACTGGACATTTTACAGGAGGTGAGAGCTGGGATTGGAGAAATTCAGGCGACTTTACGTGAACAGTCAAGGGATTTCACACCTGAGAGACCAATGCCCAGATGCACATCGACACTTGTAAAAGAGTCGTCCACCTTGCAGATGTCAGAAGTTCCTAGTCAACACGCAGATGTGACTTTGCGTGATGTTACCCCCGAAGACCTCGCTAAGATACACAACCAGAGCTACGGCCAGGTGGGCAGATACGGATGTCTGCTCTTCAGGTCCATCATCACAGAGGAACATTACATGGCCTGGAGCAAAACCACCAACTGGGATGGGGTGAAGGGAAAGCGAGCGCTGCCGCAAAATGTCAGAGACTTTGTGGTTTCAACACTGCAGCAAAAGTTTCCTGATATGGGAAAGAGTGACATGAAGGACTGCATTGATAAGATCAACGAATTTCTCCGCACAACACGCAAATCATCCCAACGACTTTTAATGTAAACCTGTTCAGCATTCATCACAATAAACACATTTTCTCTCATGCACTTTGTCCACTTTGTATTGTTTTAAAGCCTAATCTGAAATATAGAAATATAGCTATTGTAGGACTGTAGTTACCATCTCCATCAGGCACAGCCTTATGAATTAATTAAAATGCAGGCCTGGTGTTTGTCACCACGCAGTGCACAGTAACGATGAAATTAGCGAAATGTTTCACAGCAGTTTACCTTATAATTTTTGTTAAATATTCAAATATTTAGACTTTAAACTAGCAGACAGGTTTTACAGCCTAATCAATAGAAAAATAACGACAAATGACTTCAGCAAGTTATTCAGATGTGACACGGTTGTTTTACACACAATTTACGTGTTTCCCGGATTCAGTTGAGAGGGTCTTAGTGCTAAAATCTTCTTAAGTACATTCTTTTGGCTTCTTCCTGTTTTTTGCAGAAAAATTACTTTTCTCTTAAAAAAAAAACAGAAGGGGACAATTGGCCTGGTCACACGGTTACATAACAATTAAATATAGAAATATAGCTATTGTAGGACTGTAGTTAACATCTTCATCAGGCACAGCCTTATGAATTCATTAAAATGCAGGCCTGGTGTTTGTCACCATGCAGGGCACAGTAACGATCACCTTAGCATTCTGAGTTGACGCGGTTGTTTAACAGACAGTTTACTCTCTTGTTCTCTGACAATAGCATTCAAGCACCGCTATTTACAGTAATAGCGACATTCCTGCATTAAGTGGTTTGCTTAATTAATTGGCCGAGTAGGGTAATCGCTTGCATTTGATAAAACTTCTGTTAAAATCAGACAATAAACCAGAACAAGAGCAAGGAGGAGCACACATGAGCTGATCTAAATAAAAGAAAGATGCCATAAAATAAATTACGTGAAGATTAATAAGATTAATAAGTTACGTGTCAAACAGCATAATAGGCTAGTATCTGTAAAATATATAAATAAGTTAAATAAGTTATTGTACAATTTTTGATATCATAGGCCATCAAGTGATTAAAAAAAATAGAAAAACATTTAAGGCAACAATAACCAATTCAGCCACAGCTGGGACTGAACCCTCAACCTTTTGCACTGCAAAATCTGGCAAATCTCTACGTTTTAACCAGTCAGTGAGTTATGGATGTTTTAAAATGTTGGATGGGTGGACAATTGGTCCGAAATTGGAGTCCAATCGCAGCTCAAGTAGGACATTACAAGGAAAGGAGACTTATGTCTTCTGAAAGCCACCACCGTTTTCACCTCAAAGGAGCTTTTCATTGGACTAACTATGCGGTTTGTTGGCTATATCAGCAGGTTAATAACAAGTACTGTATTATGATATAAAAATAGGTATTTATTTAAATTTTATCATGTTTAATCAGACCTCAAATTTTAGATTTAGTTAAGAGTGAGATCGTTAATTTTCAGAGGCGCGGATGACTTGACCCTCGAAGAGAAATCTTTTTCTCCTGACTTCTATAAGAAAATCAAAGTCAGGATTTTCTCTGACTGACAGCCCTGTGGCTGCAAGGCTATCAGTCAGAGCTGCAGCACTGGGGCCTCCACGGCACCGTCCTGTCTCCATTTCTCTTCACCCTCTACACCTTCACCTTGTGGGCTGTGTGTCTGAGGGGAATGAGCTGGAGTACCGGTCAGTCATCATAGACTTTGTGGACTGTTGTGAGAAAAAACACCTGTGTTTAAACCCCAGTTAGACCAAGGCGATGGTGATGACATAGAAACTGTGGAGAGTTTGAAATACCTGGGTGTTCACGTCAATAAGAAAGCTGACTGGACACAACACCATAATAATAATTGGAAATAACTATCCAACATTTTAACTTTTTGTAAAAAATGTATTTTTCCCCCTACATACAGAAATCAATACTAACAAAGTATTTAATGATAATAATTTAATATGTCGGTTCTTTGCTTTTGTACATAACAAACCGCTAATTGTTTAAAATTAATTCAGAATTATTTGGGTTATCCATAAGTACTGAACTTTGCTGAATCGAGCCACAAAACTACTGTAAATAGAAGTTTCAGTAGGGTTAAACAAGCGCACCCTTTCCGAGGCTGTCGTTCTATTGGCTGGAAAGGTTGCTAGGCGACGATCCAACTGCAATCCGAGAGAGAGCAAAAAAAATCCGCAAACAGAGCCTACGGGTTTGCGAGCGTATCTGAGACTCGTGCAGAGCGCGGTTTGTGCGTGAAGAGGAGGCGGCAAGCGAGAGGAGAAAATGTCTGTGCAAGAAGCATTAAATCTGAGAGAAGAAACAGATTTGAGAGAGAGCGCATGTTTTGAGTGTGAGCATTATAAGTTTTGAGTGCAAGAAGATGAAATTCTTTTCTCAAATTGAAATTATGTGCTCTTGCATTATGGCAGGATAATTCTCCCATACATGTGCTCTGTGTTGTGGTTTGAGAGGGCGGCGCTTTGTGACGGCGTGCCTGGGTCCGCAATTGCGATACGTTGGGAGGAAGTAGTGACTAGCATAAACCTACATGCTAGGCTACAATGAGAAGGAAGGAAAACTGCTTTTCTTTATCGAACTTTTATTGACCCTCTTTTTTTCTATTGCGCCACACGTCTATCGATCGATATATATCGTTATTGAATTATCACCCAGCCCTATGTCCAAGTCAAATATAAATGGTTTTAACTTTAGTTGAACAGAGACAGGAGTGGGGGGTCTGCACAGATCAGATTACCCTGCCTAATCGGAGCTTCCATATGCAGGAAAAATGAACATGGGGAGAAAAAAAAATGGGATCAGAGATGATAAATTCCAATGCATGATGGCAATTATTTTATATCCAAGTATGATGTAGTCCTTCATATATATATATATACACACACGCACATCAATTTCAAACAGATGGTATCGGTATTGACCGATACTTCACAGCCAGGTTTTGAGTATTGGTATCAGGGACAAAAAAAAATGGCATTAGTGCAACACTACATAAAACATTCACACATCTGGTCATTAATTTGATGCATAAGACCAAAGCTCAGCTCATTAAACGGTACCCACTTTGTGATAAAGCTTGTGTTCCTTATGATGTTTTATTGGTAGATTGATGCCATCCTAGTTGGACTGCAACCTCTATAGCCTCCTACACAACTCACTGTAATTCTGGGTGTATTCCGAAACCTCTTCAACTGACCTAGCATAGACTTAATCAACAATCCAAGCTATAGTGGCACCCTAGTCGTTTCACCATTTTTTCCCCCAACCACGTTGGGTAGATGATTCGCTTTTGACAATCTGTGTGTTAAGTCCTGATTTACATTTTTTGATTTTGAATTTTTTTTGTACCATTTTGTTGTTGTTTGTTTTCATGCTGAGAGTATCATAAAATGGTTTCCTTTTTTCTTTAGATTGAAATGAACAGAATACGAATACATGTTTTGCCCTCGAGTCGTAACCGGGTGACTCAAACGGCCCGGCCTCAGGAGCCCCTGGCCTGCTCCTTCACCCAACGACCATGTTCACAGCCTCGTCTGGAGGGCTTCGAGTTCTGTATCAAGCACATTCTGGAGGACAAAAACGCACCATACAAACAATGTAGCTATGTCTCTGCAAAGAATGGCAAGCGCTGTCCCAAACCTGCTCCTAAGGCAGAGAGGAAAGACGGGTATGTCAAAGATCACGTTCCATCTTCTTAGGTGCTGACTGATTCCCAAACTAAAACCTTTCAATGTATTGTGCCTTCTTATGTGTTTTTCCTCCTGCAGGGTGACGTTCTGTGCTGAACATGCTCGTCGGAATGCGATGGCTCTACGAGCTCAGATGAGAAAGGCTTCCTCGGGCCCGACTCCAGAGGCTTTGTTATCCCAGCTTAGCTGCTCCAGTCGATCTGAGACGCACAGTCTGGACGGAGGAAACTCTGAGGCCAGCCGCATTTTAGGTAAAACCTTTAGTGCGAATTCATACAAAGGTGCAGACATTACTTTAGGATCTTAAATAAAATTTGGATGCGGTATGTTTTACATATTTGGTCATCTAATCTGTCCTTGTGTTGCAGATGAAGAAAGTCTGAGTGAAGAGGAGCAGAGCCCCCTGGTGTTGGACCAGACCTGGAGAGGAGATCCAGACAGTGAGGCTGATAGTGTCGACAGCGATCATGAAGATCCACTGAAGTAAGATAAATAATTCAGATGTGTTTTGGTTATCTAACTTGTACTTAAAAACAATATTAAGAGCATTATTGTACAAGGCTCTTAACCTTAACGAAGGAAGAAAAACAAACAATTTGACTTTACAAGTACAGCATGTTTAATGTTTTTTAACTTGTGTACTGACATATGAATAATTTGTTACCGTTTTATGTGTTGCAGACATGCAGGGGTTTACACAGCAGAGGAAGTGGCACTGATCACCAGAGAAAAGCTCATCAGGCTACAGTCACTCTATATTGACCAGTTTAAACGTCTTCAGCATCTGCTTAAGGAGAAAAAGCGCAGATATTTGCAAAACCGTAAACTGGAGCATGAAACTTTAGGTAAAAAACAGGCAACCAATTTCAGCATTTGAAGGAATGCAATCATTTGGTGTCCTTTCATAAGCTCTATTTTGTTTTTGGTGACAGGAAGTAGTTTGTTAACAGGGCCCGAAGGTCTTTCTATCAAGGAGAGGGAGAACCTGAAGAAACTCAAGGCTCTGCGTCGATACCGTCGTCGATACGGTGTAGAAGCCCTCCTGCATCGACAGCTCAGGGAGAGGAGGCAGGCTATGACAGAAGGAGCCTCTCAGGTAAACAAATCATTACACACAAACTGGGGAAGGCAACCATGCCTGAACCTGGAACGATGTGCTCTACACAAGGAGTTCAGTGGCTCTGAGGGTTCATGTATGACTCAGGATTTTAGCATCCTTTAAGAGAAAGTAAAGGCTTTCTGTCAGTGCAAATTCATTCTTTAAAAAAAGGTTTATCTGTTACATTTTTCAAACATTTATTTAATGTTTATCAACAGGCAAAAAGCTTCTTCACAATAAAATGAAAGTTTTTTTAGTATCTCATCTTTTCTGGTGACTTGGATAATTTGAACATTTTTCAATACCTCAAGTTTATTTTTAATGTGTAAGGTGGAGACAATCAATGGGCGTGTGGGTTCCTACATCCTTATAATCCATTTTCTTTATAGAAGCTTATTTTGATCAGAAGTTCATGGTTAGCAGGAGGAGCTAAAATCTTGGTTTATTTTACTTTTTTGTGCCTTTCTCTTATTGTTTTTGTTTAGTTTCATTATTTTGTCTTCTGATATTTTTCTTGTAGCTCCACATGAGAGCAGTGAGTGAAATATGCATGGCCTTCATCGATGGAGTCCGATGTACTAATCCCAGCCTCCCGATGGCCAGACACTGTCTCTCTCGTATCCTTTAGTTGTTTTCATATAGAGTACAACTGTTCAGACTGCTTCAGCTGTGCTTTGCAGTGTCTTGTGTTTCTGTGTAATTAACCCCACATCTGTGAAGTCAAACTAGAGAGCTGCACCCGCCTCCTTTCTTTTCTCTCCTTCTTTTGGCTCAGATCAGAAGCAGCAGCTTGCAGTAGCTGTTAGTTTTTTTAAAAGGGAGCCTAAATAAAACCTTCCCATGGTCTGTTGATTTTTCCCAAGATAAAAGGGATTAATCAATTCAGTTGGAAGGAACATTTTCTAAACTTATATTTTTATATTTAGGACAAAGTATATTGTATAATATAAGTACTTATTGTATTTAAGATCACATTAAAATGCAATATTTTCTGTTTAAACTACAATACTCCTACTAGAGTTAAGTCAAATAAAAGCTTTTATTGCTGATTTAGGTTTTTTTTTTTTTTTTTTTCTGGTTTGTTATTCTTAAACGTGTCTCTATGTAAATTTAGCTGATTGTCCTTAATGATGCGGCTCTCAGACATCTGCCAGGACAGCAATCAGGTGCTTTTTAAAATCTGCCCGGGTCTGAAAGATGCTCCATGCGACCGTACTGTCCACATGGGTCAATCCGATGATCCTCGCTGTCCTCTCCACCTCACCCTGCCGCCACCCATGTACCAGCCTGAGCAGGAACCTCCACCACCGGAGCACTTTACCCCCACCAGCAAAGATATGTACCTGAGTGCAGCAGAGCTTCAGCCCACTGAGAGCCTCCCCCTGGAGTTCAGCGACGTATGTAGCATTCACTGGGTTACAAGCCTATGATCTTTTTTTAACAAATTTTTTAGTGAGGAATGGATGACTGATCAATAACAACCCTTATTACAGCTTGGGAAACTGATCATAAGATTTTTTTTTTTTTTTTCCCCAGGAAGCAGAATGGGAAAGTAGGAACGTTCAAAATCTGACAAACTGAGTTTAAAAAAGTTATTGACACGGCAGAAAATTTACATTTGTTTGTTGTTTACATATTTGAAAAATAAATATTTTATAATCTGGTCTGAAACTAATTCAGATCTTTTCTTTTATTTTAATCAGGAATTCAAACGAATAATCAACTAACCATGAATATACTAATAAAGGTTAATTAGATTTAAAACCGATCAGGGTTGTAGTGTGGTCGCCGTCCAGAATAGTGTGCAGATGTTTGCTCTTGAGCAGTCAGACAATACATGTTTTTATCCACATTTTTAAGTATAGCATTAGAAGTGCTTGATGCAAACAGCAAAATCAATTTAATACATTGAGCAAACGTTTCTACCCTAACTTAAGATGTTTTTTTACTTGAAAAAGGCAAATGCAGATAAGAGAAAATGGAAACAATTTTGTTGAATACGTTTTGATGTAAATATTTACATCACATGACTGATCAGCTCCTTTTCTGCCAGTGTCCCCTTAGAAACACATTTTTCTCAACGTTTCCGGACAACATGTAGCATCACCTACACTAGCTGGTATGATAAAGTTAATTCAACTTTCCCGATTGCAAAACATTAAACCATGGTCCATTACAGATCCATGGTCAGCGCTAGTTTGCTACCACCATTTCCCGTTTATTACAGCCAAGCTTAAAATAAACCTATGACATTACACTTCGCCTACACTTCTCATCGCCTGATTGAAACATGTCTAATTCGCATTTTCTTTTTTCAACATTTTAAAAGTTCGATTTAAGTTCGCATGACGTTTGTATGGAAACATGGCAGAAAGGCCTTAGAGGCCATTATTCAGCTTTTCTGCACCAGCTGCCGCAGTGCAACCAGATCTCATCAGGTTTTCCAGAGCTATATTATAAAATAGCTTTTATTGATAATGTATTTGGGTAAATTATAGTGTGACACATGTGTCAGATCTCCACATTTTTAACAATACACCCCCAGTTAACAAGCAGCTTCCATTTTTACCTCAGTAGCAGCCATTGCCCTCAACCAGATGAGCTTAAAGAGCAGAGATGAGATGAAAGTAAAACGGGTTGTATACAAAACATTTTTAATGTGGAAAAAAAATAATTAACAAATGATTCCTGGTGCATTTTACAGTTAGATACTTAATGGAGAAAACTTTTAACATTCCTTCAAGTGCAACAATAACCACACGTTTGGAAGCATGGCTAATGGTACGCTTCCTGTCAGAGCGTCTGATTTTTGAATGATAGATCTACATCTCTGTTGGTAGGGGCTTAAAATTGTTTCACATATTTTATTCTATTTATCAATCCTAAGTTAAAATTTTTTTGAGAAAATCTTATATTTTGTATCCAGTCAATAATGCAGCCTGCATGTTAACACTATGATGCCAAAGAAACCAGCTGATCAATAAATGGTGAGATCAATTAACTCAAACCCGTGAATGGAAAACCAACATCCCTAAATCTAACAATGTTGGTTTCCTTAAAAAATAAAGTAGGACATCACCCCCATATTGTTAAAGTACATCTGTTGTCCCTCAGCTGCAAACATCTGGGCGCTTTAGCTAAAGCACAGTACAAAGAGCAGTTTTCTGCAGGATTTTAACTCTACGCAGGTTCACCTGTTATCAGAGTTCACTTTGCTAATTGTTCTAATCTGAAACTAGTCTTATCAAATGTTTGCTTATTTTCAAATGTATTTAGTTTGCATCATAAATACTTAATCTGCAAATAAAATTTTTATTGCTATATTTTGCATTGGGCTAATCCTTAAAATCCTCAAGTCTATTTTGTTTGGGCAGTAGGGGGCAATGGCGAGTTGTTGACCTGTGCTACTATGTTTACAGTCATTCACCATATTTGACGCTTGGAACATAGACTTTTTGATGCATGTACTTGTTTTATTTTCACATATAAAGTCTTGATAAAGTGTGTGTTTTTGAAGGACCTGGATGTGGAAGGGGACGGGATGCAGGGCCCTCCTTCCCCTTTGCAGTTTGACACGGCCCTCGCCTTGGAGGACCAGACCATCAGAGCCATTGCTGAGGCTCCAATGGACATCTTAACAGGAGAAGACCCAGACCAGGTGGACCTGGACACCTCGGGGCAGGAGCTTTCAGAACGAGATGTGGATGGCATCATGGATGATCAGGTCAAATATTAGTTTCAAGTTGGACTGGTGCACTGTGATCTTTAATAGTTACCACGTTTTTCTGTCAATAAAACAAGACAAAACATTTTCTCCCTTCTCTTTGACTATTCAGTTATTAGCTTTTATCATTTGTGTTGTCTGTGAAATGCAATGCATCCTGGAAAAGACGGATAATCTAAATCTGTTCAAAATTTCCATTTTGCATTAGAGTGTGGCTGTTGAAGAACAATAGAAAAAAAAACATAAAAAATCCATAGTGCACACAAACTACTCTTTATCTATCATCTGCTTTTGGTATTAAGATGATAGACCAGACCTGCTTTCTAACCTTCTCTTTTAAGGTTCTTGGTTCTAAAATATCTCATTGTTTCCTCTGAAGTGCGTATTTAGGAACTGTTTTCTCTTTGATTCATGATCCAAAGTTATAAAATAAGCTGAATTGTGGTTCATTTTAAGTGTTGGCTGTACTGATGGAGAAAATGAACATTAAAAAATGTTTAGTCCATCTTAGTTCAGCTATCAGATGTATGCAAATGTTTTTCCGTTCTTGTAACTGCCTAAAAAATGTGCTGAGTCATCTTTTCCTCCCCTCAGGCGGTGTCGGACGTAGGTGGAGGAGAAGACGACGCTACTGACAGTTCAGTGCAAGACGTGGCCATGGTAGCAGCTGATGCTCCTCGATGAACCTGCTCCACAAACTGCCTTTGTTTCTTTTATTAGGTTAAGCATACCGATCATTCGGTAATCTAAAATACCTTATGGTACTTATGTGTTTGTTTGTTTGAAATAAATGATGGGTGAGGAAGGAAGCACAAACAGCTCCCTGTGTTTCTCTGCATACTTTGGTAACAACTGATCTTTTCAGACTGATAAGACATAATGATTCCTCCTGAATCTTCAAATGGTTTGAAGCACTGGTACATCACTGCTGTACCAGTGAAATAAAAAAGCTGAAATAAAAAAGCTGAATTCTTTAATAATGCAAGTTTTACCTAACAGTCACACCACAATCCTAATTTATCTCATCAGCTGCAGTTCTGGTAAGCTATCATAAGGGCTGCAGCTATGCGACAGACTAGTGCTGGTTGATTAAGCATGGAAATGTTTTAATTACACAGCCTCTGTTACAGGATGTAGCTGCTCACTTCACTGAGCTCTTCTAGAAAAGTGCATTAATCACAATAACTGAAAATTAGATGATACATTTTTGAAGGTTATGAGGGGGCAATGAAGATGACCAGTCACTTAAAAGTTATGTCATTGAAATGTGGATGTCAGTTACCCTGAGAGACCCAATGATCTCCTCAATGCAATGATTCAGTTTCAACAACTCCTAAAATAAAACAATATTTCAAATAAAAGCCTTGGATATAAACAGAATGAGACAATTACCTTTATAGAAAAGTTAATAGATATTTATTTGTATTTATTTGCATCAGTTGAAACTACTCAACATCTTCGACTCATTTTAGGATTTTACAAGCTTTCTGCTTAAAAACTGAACGCTACCTTCCCTGGTTTAAGTCTGGTTTAGGTCATTTTTTTCTGATGACTTCAATGATTTAAATATTTATCACCAGCATCCAACTTTCAGATTTTTTTTGGGCCAAAACCATCCCGTGATTTATGGTGATTTTTAAGATCTATTTTCCTAATGGAGTCGGATTAAAAAGCATCTGATTTGATAATCATGTGAGAAGCTGTGGTATGATCTTAAATGTTGCTTTTGATCTTTTTGGTCAAGTCTAATCAATTACATTTTTTTTTTTTTACCTTGGTTGTCTTTGACATTAAATCCAGTTAATCCGAAACAGTTATGTGACAAAAAAAAAAAAAGAAAAACTAGACTGTTAATATTCTGAGGCAGCGCTAGATGAGGGACCATGGCCACCCCCCATTTTTTATTTCCACAGGTGTTGAGTAACAAAATGCAATACCTTGTTATCTTAAGTAGAATTTTTGGCTATTTATACTTAAGTGGAGTAATAATTTTTTAGACAACTTTTTACATCTATGTCCTTAAATTTTAAAAATAGTCGCACTAGTTTAGTTTCATTTAAGCTCATTTCCGTTATGGCCAGTTGGTACAAAAAAATAAATTTTTCCTGTATTACTTTTATACTCTTAAGTAGTTAAAAAAAAATTGTACTTTTAGACTTGAGTAAAAAGCTTCAGTTGATACCGTAACTTCTACAAAAGTGTTTTTAAACAGTAAAAACTATACTTCTACTTGTTTAATTAACACTAATACTTATGATACTTTGTTTATTACCATGCATGCAATTCAGACTCTCTGGAACATGTAGTTCCTCTCCACACCAGATGGTGGCAGCAGTGATACCATCACATTGAATATCCTATGCTGACATAGTTAATATTTGAAGCAGAAACTTAAACACAGAAATTAATTAATCAAACTCTGTTTAAAACAAAGATATATGATAGGGATTTATCTTCTTTTAAGAATTAGTTTACCATGTTTTATCTGTGACCGTTTGCAGTCGTCAATGAGTCTCCTGTGTAATTAAGGATGAAGAATAACTTTACCATTTTAACTTCTATATAATGTAGAGCCATAGATTAATTTAAACAGCACAGATGTATAAATATCTGAATTGTTTAATCTGTAAGGGCCTCATGAAAATCTAGTCTTTTCTTTAGATATTTATTGGGAAATATAGATGTGCTTCATTTATTTTCCTGTTGGTTCATTATAATCTATAGATTGACCTCAAACTGGTTTTCAGCACCTATTAGTTTTCAGCCACCTTTCACTGCTGAACAGTCCCTCCCTGCCAACACCATGACATTTTTCTGGAACTGCCTCAGTATGTAGTGTCTGATATATTTGACTTAATTGCCTTTTGTGTTAAAAGAAAGACCCAATCAATTGAAAGGTAAGTGTAAAGTTGTGCTTTACCTGATAAACGTATCTTTTTGTTATGGGGATTAAAACTTGAGGGCAGCATGTAGGGAAAAAAGTGGTTTAAAAGTGGAGCCTTTAATAACTCCACCTAATTTATAACTCCCTACTAGATGATAAATGCCAAATGATTTAACTTTTAGAGATAGCTTTTTTTTTTGTTACACGATTTATATTTGGACAAGTTTATTGCATATCTTATGTCAAAATATGTCAAAAACATAAACCAGATTCATGTCCATTTAATTCTGGATTTCTGAAATAAATTTAAAAAAAGGATGCAGGAATGTACTCTGATCCAACTCTTGACCCACTTAAAGTTTGTAGGTTTACAGTGAAGCTCTGTCTGGTACGGAAGAGTATTAGGTCCACTAAAAAAAAAAAAAGGTTACCAGATTTTTTGATTTTATTTCAGTATAATATGAGGAAAAAAAACAACTTTTTTCTCAAAATTATGACTTTGATCTCAGAATTCTGACTTTTTTTCTCAGAATTCAAACTTTAATCTCAGAATTCCGACTTCAATCTCAGAATTCCGACTTAAATCTCAGGATTCCAACTTTAATGTCAGAATTCCGACTTTTTTCTCAGAATTCTGACTTTGATCTAAGAATTCTGAATTTTTTTCTCAGGATTCTGACTTTGATCTCAGAATTCCAACTCTAATCTCAGAATTCTAACCTTAATCTCGGGATTCCGACTTTAATCTCATAATTCCGACTTTTTTCTCAAAATTCTGAGTTTGATCTCAGAATTCTGACTTTCTTCCCATATTAAACTGAAATAAAATGTAAAAATATTTTTTTGTTTTTTTGTATTTTTTTTTTTTCCAGTGGCCCTAATCCTCTTCCGTAGTCTGTAGCCACCTTAAAGCCGGGGAGAAAATGGGGCGGGTTTGGCAGTTTTCACGCAATGACATCACTTTTCCTCCGACCCAAACACTGAACACATCTCCGAGGCAGAGGAGGGGACAGCAGCCGCTGGCTGCAGAGGAGCGCCGCTGCGACAATGAGCACAAGCCGCCTTTAAACACCAACATTCTGGGTTTGTTCGTCCTGATCGGCCATGATCCGCTGGAGACCCGCTTCTACCGAATGAGGTGAGTCTGCAATGGGAAGGAAAAGGCAGCTTCTGTGTGGAAAAAGGTTCGCCTGACCGTGATTTGCGAGAAAAAAGCCTTTGCGAATTATATCCTGGTCCAACGTCATGATATTTTATCATGACTGTTTATCAATAACCGTCTTATTGTGTTTCTCCTGTTAGTGGCTGAAGGTTTAGGGCGTTTCAGCTCTGCTGTGGAGGAGACTCAGTGTTTGGGTCTGCAGGCCCGGTCCTTAAAGAGAAAATGCTACATTTTTACCAACACTTTCACTAATAATCGGTTGTAATCAGTTTGTTTGCATCTTGTATGATTTATTTAGCTTGGAACCAGAGAAAGAGGAACATGAGGAAGGAACTGGTGCTTGTTCTGCTTCCATCCTGCGGAGAGGAAAGGCAGCTTATTTATGATGGAAATCAGCTGCGCCTGTGATGATGGCAGCTCCTGCAGGCAGTGATGGTCCACAGTCAGAAGAAGGACATTTCTAAAAGAACTCACGACTTGAGCAACAGTGAATGACTCCATTTAAATTTAGATTCATTTCTAAGAACAAAAAAAATTGCTGTAATTTCACTTCCATCTTGTGCAGGGGTGCCTCCAAAAGCTTTTTAAAGGGGCGGACAGTTTGGGGGCCACCAAAATGCAAAGTCGTCCCAGCATATTTAACCGGGGCCAGATGAGTTATTTAACAGCTTTTTCTCTAAACTTGATATTCATTTGAAAAAAAATGCACATTAAGATCCTCCAACTAAAGCGGAGTTTGTCCATCGTCATAATTTCAAAAACAGTAGTACAAGGAGAATTTTAGACATTTTATGTGTAGTTTTATTTGTGAAAACTCACAGCTGTGCCAGAAATCACTTGTGAACCCTGAAAGAAAAGAGAAATCAGAGGTGGTTCACCTTTATGGGATCAGGGTGGAGGTGTTTTTTAAAAGAGGAGGCATGTCTGTCCAGGGAGTTGCGCCCTCTGGTGGTGGTAGTGGTACATTTTAAGATTTTGTTTTGAGGATTCCTTTGGCATGGATGTAGTTTCTTGTAATGAAATGACACACTTCTTCACATTTCGCCATGCTATAACCGCAAACCCATGTAGTTTTTCCGGATGACATGTGATCGACCAACACAGAGTAGTGCACGCTATTTGCATCCGGCCCTCCTGAATCAGTTCCTCATAGGAAACTCTTCTGCTTTTTCTTTTTTTTTAAAGGAAGAATTGCTCAAAATCATATTAGTTAGAGTTTATCTGTGAACCTCAGATTATAAAATGGATTCTGGACTTTAGGACACAGAAAAACATGGTTTCATCTAAACCTTTTAAATTAAAGCTCTGGTTCTGCGTTGTTGTTCTGGTGCACCTCTGCCTCCTAGTGGAGATCATTTCTCCAGAGTCTATCAGGTCTTCTTGCCGTATTGCCCTGCATTTAGCTTCAGCCATCACTTCTAATCAGCTGTTCCTTGCAATTTTTGAATGTTTTTCTTTTTCTCATTGCCTTATTTCCTTGCCCTCCGTATTAAAACCCAAACCTGTACAGTTTCTCATCTGAGCCATGGATCGCTGCAGCTCCTCCAGAGTTCTCTGTCCTCTTGGCATCCTCTTTGATTAATAATCTCCTTACTTGATGCCTGTACCACAAAGCGAGCTCAACGCAGCAGGATTACTCCCAGCCTATCCAGTTTAACAAAACCAAAACAATTGCAATCAGGATCAGCAGCAATACCAAGCTGGCTATAAACTCACTAACTTAATCCAGCTTGAAGTGATAATGAATCTATGAACGCACACGTATA